TTAAAAGGGCTAAATAAGAAGAAAAAGTTATCTGTGCACTATCCAAATATTCCATCGGCAATACGTCCAGTTCCTCATGGAGAGGGGCTACCAATTCCTAAAGCACCAGAATCCTTCGTGGTTGAGTCAAGTGAGGAAGAACCTGAAGCGTGTAGTCATCATCAACCTCACATGACCCAGACTTTCTTCCATCCACACCCACTGAACCACACCTCATTACACAAGTGGAATTGAGCGATCTTATCAGAGACCTGGATCTTCCGAAGAACAAGGCAGAGCTTTTGGGGTCAAGACTACAACAGTGGAATCTCCTAGCAAGTGATGTTCGTACGTCTTTTCTACCGTCATCGTCAGAAAGATCTGATCCCATTCTTCGTCCAGGAAGGTGATATTGCTGTATGTAACAATGTACATGGTTTAATCTCAGCCATCGGCGTATGCTATGATCCCGATGAGTGGAGGCTGTTCATTGATGCTTCAAAGGCGAGTCTTAAAGCTGTTTTGCTCCATAATGGCAATCAGCTGCCGTCAGTTCCAGTTGCTTACGCAGTTTCAATGAAAGAAACGTATGAAAACTTGAAAGAGCTTTTAAGGTGCATCAACTATGATGAACATCAATGGTCGATTTGTGGTGACCTGAAGGTGATTGCTATCCTACTTGGACTTCAAGGTGGATATACTAAGTACTGCTGCTTCCTCTGTGAGTGGGACAGTCGTGCGAGAGAAATGCACTATGCCAAAAGAGACTGGCCATTACGCCAGTCATTGCAGCCTGGAGAAAAAAATGTTAACTATCCAGCACTTGTAGACAGCAATAAGATCTTATTACCTCCATTACACATCAAGTTGGGATTAATGAAAAACTTTGTTAAGGCAATGGACAAGAATAAAGCAGGTTTCAAGTACCTGATTAGCAAATTTCCAGCACTTAGTGCTGCAAAAATAAATGAAGGAGTCTTTGTTGGGCCACAGATTCGTAAACTTATTCATGATGATGAGTTTCTTTCTCTGTTGCGTGGAAAGGAAAAGGCTGCCTGGACAGCATTTGTATCAGTGACATCAAATTTTCTTGGAAACAATAAAACACCAGACTACAAGAAAGTGGTAGAAAAACTCATCCAGACTTACAGAAATCTGGGTTGCAACATGTCTCTAAAAATTCATTTTCTACATTCGCATCTGGATTTTTTCCCACCAAACTGTGGAGCAGTGAGTGATGAACACGGAGAGCGCTTCCATCAAGACATTGCAGCTATGGAAAGAAGATATCAAGGTAAATGGAGCCCATCAATGCTTGCTGACTATTGCTGGACAGTTGTAAGAGATAACCCTTTCCTCGAATACAAGAGAAAAGCCAAGAGAAGAAAAACCGACACAAACTGAAGACAAAACTAGTGAGAATCCTAAGTATTAAAATTATTCAACTTAGCTTATGGCTATAATTTTTCTTGGTAATCCTATGCAATATATTATGCCATTTAGGCTTTGTTATGTAGTCAATATCACTTGCTTTATATTTGTGAAAAGACATCTATCTATATAATTATTGTGCATTATGTAGTCATTATGCCTATAGTAGAAAACTTTCCGTTTACAGAAAAACTAGAGCCAATTGACAAATTTCATTGTTATATTTGAACTCAGAATGTGAAATTCATTAAGAAATGGATCCTTTTGTTTCCAAAACTGGCAAAAAATAAAAATTTGTTGAACCGTGTTATCATTCACACAGAGAAGTGAATTGTCTATCAAATGGGAAACAAAGCATGCTTACCTAGTGAGTAAATATGTACATGCCTTGGTTTCTAGACAATAACGTATTTGGACAATGATGTCACCAGTGAATTGTCTACAAAGCGAGAGGCAGAACCTGCTTAAATAGTGAGCAAATATTACATACTTGGGTATATGGCCATTAACATATTTGGAAAAATATTTTACCAGTATCCCCCTCCCCTTAACATTCAACTGTCTGTCAGCTAGAAAATTTGCCTCCGGCAGCTAAATGAGGCAAAGGATGGCATTCATGAGAACTTCCCAACATAAAATACTCCACTTTAGGCACTGACATTTCCCGTGCACCAGGTTAGAGTTGGTTTAAATACTGCCAGTTTTCCTATCTGCAAGGTGGGAGAAATTCTTTTAGAATATGTGACAGCCCTTACTTAAAGTGATAGCAATGAACACTACCTGACTGTGGTGCATGTGTCATAAATCTTTGAGAAATTGTTCCAAGACTTTCCTGAGTTAGGCACAGGCTATGTTAAAGGGGCCATACCACCAAAAAAGTATCATAGCTTCTTTATTGAATTCTCCTCAGTATGGAACAGTACCAATTACCTTCTAGCTGTGCAAAAATGTCCATCTCTATTTGGTGACCTTGCTGGGTATGAAAAAAAAAGAAAATACTAACTGATATAAAACATTTGTTTATTAATGAATTCTCATTAACCACTTGCCCTGCTAAGGATTTACCCCCCTTCCTGACCAGGCCTCTTTTTGCTACTCGGCGCTACACTAATTCAACTGATAATTGCGCGGTCATGCAATGCTGCACCCAAACAAATAGAGCTTTGTTTCGGTGGTATTTGATCACCTGTGCGCTTTTTTTATTTTTCACGCTATAAACAAAAAAGGACAAAAATTTTGAAGAAAAACAATATTTTTTACTTTCAGCTATAAAAAATATATAGTAAACTCAAAGTTAGTTATAAATTTAGACCAAAATGTATTCTGCTACATGTTTTTGGTAAAAAAAAATCCCAATAAGTGTATATTGATTGCTTTCTGTGAAATGTATAGCGTCTACAAACTATGGTATAGATACTGCAATTTACGCCATGTTTTTGCTATACAGCGCTGCTCTTGTTTAACGGACAATTGCGTGGTCATGCAATATGGTACATAAATGAAATTTATGTCCTTTTTTCACACAAATAGAGCTTTCTTTTGGTGGTATTTGATCACCTGTGCGCTTTTTATTTTTGAAGCTATAACCAGAAACATTTTTGAAGAAAAAAACATTTTTGGAAAAAAAAAACAATATTTTCTCATTTCTGTCATAAAAAATATCCAAAAAAACTAAAATGTTGTCATAAATTTAGGCCAAAATGTATTCTGCTACATGTTTTTGGTTAAAAAATTCCCAATAAGTGTATATTGATTGCTTTGTGTGAAAGTTATAGTCTACAAAATATGGTATAGATAATGGAATTTACACAGCTTTTACTTTCTGACTGCCCATCACATTTCTTGAGCTGCTAAAATACCAGGATAGTACAAACACCCTCAAATGACCCCCCTTTTCGGAAAGTAGACACCCTAAGCTATCTGCTGAAAGGCATATTGAGTCCATGGAAGATTTATTTTTTTTCCACAAGTTTCTGGAAAATGACAAAACATTTTTTTTGTTTTACACGAAGTTGTCAATTAAATGATTTATTTCTTGCACAAGCTATGGGTATATGTGAAATTACACCCCAAAATACATTCTGCTACTTCTATCGAATATGGGGATACCACGTGTGTGAGACTTTTTGAAAGCCTAGCCACATACAGGAGCCTGAAATCCAATGACCACTTTGAAAGCCTGAAGGTGCGTAACTTCCTCATTACACTTCCTCACTACCTATCACAGTTTCGAAGGCCCTGACATGCCAGGATAGCCCCCCAAACCCCCCCCAAATTATCCCTTTCTGGAAAGTAGACACCCCAAGGAATTTAAAAAGAGGCATGGTGAGTATTTTGCAGATCTCATTTTTTCTCACAAGGTTTTGAAATATAAAAAAATATATAAAAAATATGTTTTTGTTTTTTTTCTTCATTTTTCAAAAACTTGTGGCAACAAATGAGATCTGCAAAATACTTACCGTGCTTTTTATCAAATTCTTTGGGGTGTCTACTCTCCAAGAAGGGGTCATTTGGGGGGGTTAGGTGCTATCCTGGCATTTCAGGGCCTCCGAAACTGTGATAGGTAGTCTGGAAGTGTAATGAGGAAATAAAGCCCTTTAAAAGCCTGAAGGTGCTTAATGGATTTTGGGGTCCTGTACTTGGCTAGACTGCCAAAAAGTCTCTCACATGTGGTACCCCTATACTCAGGAAAAGTAGCAGAATGTATTTTGGGGAGTAATTCTACATATACCCATGGCTTGTGTGAGCAGCAAATCATTTAAGTGACAATTTTGTGTAAAAAAAAAGAATTTTTTTTGTCATTTTCCAAAAACTTGTGGTAAAAAAATAAATTCTTCTGTTGATTCAACAAGCCTATCGGCAAATAGTTTGGGGTGTCTACTTTCCAAAAAAGGGTCGTTTTTGGGGGGTGGGGGTGTTTTATGCCCAGCATTAGAAGTTTTATGCCACACATCACTCACTCTTCTAACCACCTGAAGACCAAGCCTTTTCTGACACTTTTTTGTTCACATGAAAAAAAATCTGTATTTTTTGCTAGGAAATTAATTTACACCCCCAAACATTATATATTTTTTTAAAGCAGACACCCTAGTGAATAAAATGGTGGGTACTACAATTTTGTATGGCACATAGTACTTGCGCACCAATTTTTCAAATGCAAATTTAAAAAAAAATACACTTTTTTTTACTTTTAATGCACAAAAACACAATATATTGGCCATGCCCCGTACAATGGCGACAAACTGCAAACATTTTTAATATCCATAGGTAACATTTTAAAAGCCTTTAAAAGCTACCATTTTAGAAAAAAACAACTGAATATTTTGAAAAAAAATGTTTTTTCTTAGTTTGTGTTATAAAATTTTGTAAATAAGTGATTTTTCTCCTTCACTGATGTGCGCTAATGAGGCTGCAGTGATGGGCACTGATAGCCTGCACTGATGGGCACTGATAGGCGGCACTGATGGACACTGCTGAGGAGGCACTGGTAGCTGACACTGATGGGCATTGACAGGCATCACTGATGGGCACTGAAAGGCAGTACTCACATATGGCACTGATAGGTGGCACTGTTAGGTGGCACTGACTGGCACTGATTTGCAGCACTGATAGGTGGCACTGACTAGGGCATTGATATGTGGCACTGACTGGGCACTGATAGGTGGCACTGAAAGGCAGCTCAGATGGGCACTGATATGTGGCATTGATGTGCACTGGTAGGCACTGATGTGGCATTGATGGGCACTGGCAGGTGGCATTGATGGACACTGACAGGTGGCACTGCTGGGGCTACACTGATCATCAGTGCCCTGATAAGTGTAAATGTCCCCTCTGAGGAATGCCGATTACCAACTCTCTTCTCCTCTCGAGCTGTCAGCGTGACAGCTCGTGGGAAGAGAAATGCTGATAACTGACATTTCATTATTTACATGCGATCAGCTGTGATTGGGCACAGCTGATTACATGACCGAGCTGATGTCTTCGGCTCTTTCCCTTGGTCAGTGATCCGCTGTGTCTCAGAGACACAGCGCACCATCAGTCGCCCTCGGAGCCACTCATGCGCAGTTAGAGTGGGAGGACATCATATGATGTCCTCCCAGAACGAGAGAACTGCCTTGCGCTTGTCATTGTACTATATGGTGGGTGGAGGCTAAAAGCCTTTACAGAATACCAGTTTAGAGTTACACAGGAGGTCTGCTGTTATAATTAATGGTTTTGCTATAACTTTTGTGGTGATACCTCACATGTGTGGCGCAAATGCTGTTTATGTATGTTTGCCTTTGCACGTGGGCATGGGGGAGCTTTAAATATTTTTTATTTTTTTATTATTTGCTTTATTTACTTTTATTTATTTATTTATATTTTTGTTGTCTCTTTATATTTTTTAATTACTTTTATTTTCATCACAAGGGATAAACAACATACCCTGTGATAGCACGGGCAGTGAAAGGTTCTCTTTACTGAGACATCTGGGGTCCATTAGACCAAAGATCTCTCCTCTGCCCTTAAAAGTATGTGATCAAAACAAGATCATTTTACATCTGAGTGAAACCGTAAGTGAAAAATCCTCATTGCTTCCAGTTTCTAAGACCATAAAGATGGTTGGGGAAGTTCTGGTCTCTATGATAAACCCAGAGAACCATCTGCTTCAGTTCCAGGCTCTCCCTTTCCATCAGTGGAAGGTAGTGGAAGGGGGACCCCCCCCTTCCACCATAGCTCTTGGATCACTTTTAAATTGTTCAGCAATGCAGGCTAAAAAGATGATACTGGGATACTGACTGCATAACCACTAAAACCCGAGGACATACAGGGACATCCTACAGGTGGGAAGTGATTAAACTTCACTAAGCCAGATATCAGCTTTAATGTATTACAGGGATAAACAAATAGTAATTCTTAATAATTCTAAAACAACTTTCATTTATAAATGTCATTTGTTTTTGTAAGAGCACCATAATGTAAAAGTCCCAAAGTAGTAATTTAGCAATGAAAATTCTAGTTTGAAGCTTTTTACTGCTGTGTATGTTGTTTTTGTTTACATTTCCTGAGATAGCTTGACAGTACTGGTTTTGTTTTTTTTGTCATTCAAGGTAGAATTTTAATGTTTCCCTTGTCACCAATTGCATTTTATTAAAGTTTATATATAAATATTTGTTTCAATAGTTTCTAAAGAGAGTGTTAATATTTTCAAACCTCTTCACTTAACTATAGTCTACTAAAAACCTTGTTATTTTTGTTGATGGCGGAGGAAAATTACCACATTATTATTTTTTTATTTTTATTACTGTTTGTAGCTGTTAGCAAATCTGTTTTTAAATCTGTTTTCAAAGTTATATAATTGTATGACACCCTTGTAAAGTCTTGTATTTGACGAGAGACAAGAAAGCAACATGATTGGTGCCACATTCCATACTTCTCCATATAGAAAAATCATGTGCAGTTCAAGCATTTAAAATACGTCCCTAGGAATTTTTTTTTTTTTTCATTTTAAGGGCAGGGCAAGGTTAGATCTTATGTCAAATTTTGGTAGCTCTCTAGATCCCCATTGTGGACATTCCTCTTCTATTTGTGATTGTGATGGTGACCATTGTTGCAAAAAAGTAAGTGAGAGAAAATTCCAAATTTCTAAGTTGTCTTTGGAATAAGAAGTGAAAATACATAATTCAAAGGAGACACCTGATCCTGGAAAAACTCTCAAAAGCTGCTCACTCACAGTTAGTTTTTTGTTCAGCAAACAGATTCCTCCATCTACACACATGACCTGGATGGAGGAATCCACCACCAAAACAGTCATGCCGAACGATGTTACAGGCAGCATAATGTTCTCCATGGCTTCTCCAGATCCTTTCACATCTGTCACATGTGCTCAGGGTGAACCTGCTCTCATCTGTGAAAAGCACAGGGTGCCAGTGGTGGACCTGCCAGCTCTGGTGTTCAATTGCAAATGCCAATCAAGCTCTATTGTGCTGGGCAGTGAGCACAGGGCAGATTAGAGGACATCGGGCCCTCAGGCCACCCTCATGAAGTCTGTTTCTGATTGTTTGGTCAGAGAAATTCACACCAGTGGCCTGCTGGAGGTCATTTTGTAGGTGTCTGGCAGTGCTCATGCTGTTACTCTTTGCACAAAGGAGCAGATACCGGTCCTTCTAATGGGTTTAGGGCCATCTACAGCTCTGTCCAACTCTCCTAGAGTAACCGTCTGTCTCCTGGAATCTCCTCCATGCTCTTGAGACTGTGCTGGGAGACACAGCAAGTCTTCTGGTAATGACACATATTGATGTGCAATCCTGGAGGAGTTGGACTGCCTGTGCAACTTCTGTAGGGCCCAGACATCACCTCATGCTACCAGTAGTGACACTGATCCTAGCCAAATGCAAAACTAGTGAAAAACAGTCAGAAAAGATGAGTAGGGAAAAAAATGTTGGTGGCCTTCACCTGTAAAACCATTCCTGTTTTGGGGGTTGTCTCATTGTGGCCATAGCTGAAACTGATTAACAACACCCTCTGCTACTTAACTGACCAGATCAATATCCCAGGAGTTTAATTATGTAATTGACTTGATGCTATACTTTAATTAAAAAGTGTTCCTTTAATTTTTTTGAGCAGTATATATATATATATATATATATATATAGATAGATATATACATGACACAAGTAAGTATGGTTCAGCAATTGAACAATGAAAGAGATAATAAATCAATTAGAAATGTATTCCCACTGCACTAATGAGAGTCTACACTCTTTGCCTTCTCATACTAACATGTCATATAACACATAAACCAGAAAACAAAAAATCTCTATATAACGCACAGAACAAGCCACACAAATCTCCTCCAACCTGTCACCCGCCAACACAGATCCAGCAGCAACTGCTGGATAACCGTGTGGGAGAGCACAGGGAAGGAGACAAACTAAATGCACATAATGTCACAATATCAGAAATACACATGATGCTGTTTCCTCCTCCAACAGGCTGTGTAGCTAACAAGCCATCCACAGTGTGCCAGACAACAGTTTGTAACAGTTTGTGGGTAGCAATATTGGACAAAATAGGCTCAATTCACAAAGCTTCAGCACAAGGATACATTTCTTTGTTTCAACTATGTGAATGTAATTTTCAAATGTCAGTGGACTGAGATAATGGTCACTTAAAAAAAAAAAGTATCCTTAGCTTGGGGTTTTAGCATTCTGAATTGAGCCTAATGTCTTTTTTTGTGAGCATAGATCAACAAAATGACTATAATGCTAATAATAAAATGATCAGATGTTTGCTATATGAAAACTAAAAGAAAAAAAATAAAAGACACTGTTATTCACCACATTAATATCACATCATGGTGGGTGGATGCAATTACCAGGATCACTGTAATAGTGTAGCAGAAGCTTGACTATGTGTGGCAAGTGAACCTTTTTAAATTCCTGGGATCAAGCTGTCATTAAACATAAAGGAAGCAACTTTTAATCACTGTGAAACAATCACAAGTGTAAACAATGTAGTGGTGAAAGTTGCTGATCACTAAAGAAGATTGCTCTTCTTGGGGCAGCACAGTGGCTTGGGGCAGCACAGTGGCTAAATGGTTAGCATTTCTGCCTGGCAGTACTCGGGTCGCTGGTTCGAATCCCAACCATGGCACCACCTGCCTGGAGTTTGCATGTTCTCCCTGTGCTTGCGTGGGTTTTCTTCAGGTACTCCGGTTTCCTCCCACACTTCAAAGACATGCTGGTAGGTTAATTGGTTCCTGTCTAAATTGGCCCTAGTATGTGTATGTATGAATGTAAGTTAGGGACCTAATATTGTACACCCCTTGAGGGTTAGGGACTGATGTGAATGTACAATATATACAGTATGTAAAGCGCTGCGTAAATTGACAGCGCTATATAAGTACCTGAAATAAATAAATTGCTCTGCCAGAGAGAGGGCCAGGCTGCTGCAAGTAAGCTTCCATTATAACTACTAATTAATAGCTGAGGTTTTTCAGTAGGACCCATAATCTGTAAGATCATAGCATTACCTACTGATGTTTAGCATTACCTCTGCTGCCTGTACATATGTGAATATGATACATCCTCACAGAATAAATTAAATAAATAAAAATACATATTTGATGAAACACTATTTATTTGACATGTTTGTAACAGAAAATTACAGTTTTTCTTTAATGTAGTGCAAGATAAAAAAAACAAACTTGTGGTTGGAGGCATAGTCTGGATGCTAATCAGTGCACATGATTCTGAGTAGAGCTGAATAGAGCTCTTCACTCCACTCTGAGAAGAGCTTTTTACTCAAAATGTTGTTTACAGTTCTTTCAGTGGCCATTCAATTAGCAAAAATAGTGGAACCAGCATCCCAAAAGCTGTGGCCACCTCAAAACTACCTACACAAAAGTCTACTTTGACCCAAATGTGGGCTCTTTCACTCTTAGTGGGAATAAGATGGGTCCAGAACCTTCTATCTGCTCATCACAGCAACACCCTTCTTTGATCCAGCAGCCAGTCCCATATCTCTCACATGCCTCTGAGAATTATGCAGAGGGTCCTCCATGTAACAGTTTAGAAATACTACAAGCTATGACAGCAGACAAGCAAAACTCTAACCTGAAGGCATGACCCTGCCTGGATATCCCACATCTAGCCTCCCCATTCCTCGACTGGATCTAAGTATTTGTCATATAAAGACTACATTAAAGATATTTCTACAAAAAGGACATCTGTTTGCAGTACCTGGAGGTTAGGGGCACATGCTGTCCTAATTAGGGGCACGCTGTTTTTCCGAATTGGTGTCTAATTAGTTTTGTATTTAAGAGGGGTAGCAACTCTGTAGAGTTTTCTTTGTAGATTTTGCTCATTGGAAGTGCAGCAGTACTGACGCGTAGTAGGATAAAAGTGCATAGTTTGAAAAGCATAGCTGGATACAGTAAGTTTTAAGTTATTTCTAAATTCTTTACAGTATTTCTAGTTG